GTGACAGATTGCTGTTCTCCTCTACTCAACAAATATAATCAACAGCATATCTCCGAAGCTACTCCTCACTTTTAACTGAATACCAACATCTACTGAGAAAAATATTATGCTTTCTTTCAATCACCTTTTACAACCTTCATTTAAAGACATCATATGACTGGCCCAACTTATTTTCAGCGTAAATTGTTCACGATTTCAATAATTCCGACTTCTCTTTATAACTTTTAATAGTTAATGCCAAGTTTAAAAGCTTCTGGGTATTGAAAAGCTTCAGAATAAAAGTGAGAAACCATCACTCAGTACTACATGGATTTTAGTTATGCATCGGTTGACTGCTAATTCATAACACCAATTGAGGTGTACGGCAGTGTCCTATAGCTTACCTAAGTAACCATTTTGGTAAGACTCGAGCTATAATCTGTGATAAGTACTATCGAATTGACAGTCCAATCATTTAATATTTGTCAGCCATCTGACATTACTACTCACTGAAATACTGAAAAAGCAACTTATAAAAGAGAAGTGAAGCTGGAAAACCATCTAAGAATTCCCGATCTAGGCTGTAAACCACATTCATCATACAGGGTTGTGCAGACCTGACCATTTGTGGAAGAGTTTGAACCTGTTATTTCCTATTTGAAAGTGAGTTTTTTTACCGATGATTTAAACATCTAACTTGACACAAATGAAAAATGTCGACTAGGTTCTATTGCATATTCCGTGGAAAAAACTAGTGTCTTGCTAAAGCAGTTACTGAAATGTGACGGTAAATAATTTAGTGCACATTAGATCATAGACCTACCATCATAGCCAAACTCGGTAGCAGGAAAATTAATAATGAAACCTGGATTTCAGTTTTCATGCATAACCTGATTTTGGTGCTTGTCGAGAATTATCAGTAAGGGTTACTTGTAATGCCGAAGGAAAGCATACTCCTACGGAGTTAGAAGTCGATTTTTCCTGGTATCATAACCAGTGGCATCCTAAAGTAGAATAAGTAGTACTAGTTAATGTGTAAACAAATTCAGACTGACTGCATTTAGGAATGCCCAATGAAGTGCATGATTTGACACGATGATACACTACATTCCGTGTATTGTAAAGGTAACGATCACGTTTGCAGGACAACTAAATGCACTAGCATGCAAATTTTACAACTCTTGATTAAAGGAAATCAAATTAAGCTGGTGTCTTGAGTGAGCTGGTCGATCTGAAATTAATTTTCATTACTTATTGTCATCATGCTTGAAGTAATTTAAAGCCTGTAAGTACTGGACAGCTGTTTTACGAGTTTTAATGTCTCTGTAACTGATGTCATTATATAATGAGAAGCATTTTGAAACCGATCAGTACCCAAAGTTCACTAATACTATTACTATACAGTAGTTGTAAGTGATCTATTTGAGATAAGTTTCCTACAGTTTTATTGAGATGCCACGTTATATGAGGTCAGCGAAATCCAACGTGAATACAGTACTCACCAATGACAATGGATAATAGTTGAAATTTATTCGAAAGGTATGAACAATGTTAACTACTGAACCCCACTTCATTGCCTAGATGTAAGTGTACTTTCTACAAGACTTGATGGTCTTAGGTTTGATCTGAAAGAGGGTCTTGGGCATATACTGCTGAAGAGTCTGAAACTAAAACGATGACGAATCAACTGTTCAGTATTTCTAGAATTTTTATTGGTTCTTCAAGTTATATCGCTTTATGATGAAAATTAGTTAGACATCACACTACTATAAACGTACATCAATTCACTTTTTGCAGCCTGATAACTGATCAGAAATCTATTGCAGATACAGCAAATGCGACAATTCTTACGCTTAACAGAGTTTTTCTGTATTAAGCGAATTCAACAAAAAGTATTTTGTCCATTATACTGTCCATTAGCCAAGAAGTTACTAAATCTTTTGATTTAACGCAATGGATTTACTTGGTTCTTAGCAAAACATGATGAACAGGGCAGCATGAATATAAAACGTCTGGACAATGCAGCTTTTACCATTCAGACTTGAAGGAAGCTATTTGTTTCCAAACTACAAGTCTGTTTAAACACTCAAACAAACCAGAAGGATAAATTTATAGTTCAAAATGAAATTGAAGTTTTACAAATCTTTCTAGTAACTTGGAAAAATTATTTTACACCAAGAGCTGTGACAATAAAATAAATTTATTTAAACTTACTGCTCAACAATTAGTTTTCTGACAGTCAAAGTTTTGCAGTCGGTAACTATTACAAGTCAGTGCTCAAGTCACATGTGGAGCATATCCTATCAAATATTTCAGAATTAAAGTCACAGACTTCAGAATGTGAATTAGTGGCCCTGATTCTAGTATCTCTAAAGCTCTCCACCTCCATAATTTTGTGATATAAGGTAACTAAATGCAAAACACCAATACTGTAGGGCTCGAAATCTATCTGGAAGGTTATAACTAAATGTCAGAACATCCAGTACCCGTATCTGAAAATCATCATTAAGAAGAACGATGGCGAAAATTTGATTTTCAGAAGTTACTAAGTGTTCATTCAGTATTCAGTCAACTTGTTTTGTTCAGCCAAAAGTTGCCTAAACATGAAATCAACTGTAATCACCTTAATCTTAACATGATGGTCTTATAACCTGAGTATTATGCACTTGTCTTTACTTATCTGAGAGTTCTAGAGACATGTGACATAGTTATCTAGCACTCTATGGTTACACTTTTGTTGATGTACTTTGGAAAGTATATCCGAGGTGAAGCACAGCTTTTACATTATACGACAAAACAAATAAGGGTTATTTCGAGGGACATTAAGATTTAGAAAAAGACAGTTGCATCATTATGTTCACAAACAAACACACTGTATTTCCATATTAGATTTGTTTATTTGATGTATAACAGATAATGGTACAGTATTATTGAATTCATGACGTTTTCAGCATAAATTATCTCTTACAATCACCTGCTTCAAAAATGTTCATTAAGTGTCAATTTACGTTTATCTTTTATTCCAGTTTAACCGATACCCGAAAATCATGATTAAATGGTAAAGGCATATGATGGCAGTCAGTAAAACTACACTTGATGAAATAATGATAAACCATCAATTTAGATATGCAAGAATCAGAGACTAACCTCTTTATTGGTTGAAAGCAATCACCTTATATTCTAACCGGTATGTTACTACGTATATAAAGGGAGATAATAGCGAATTCTTATGGACCATTTAGGTTTATTCATAAAGTAAACATAAAGCGTGTTGATGCGAAATCTCATGTCTCACATCAAGCTAAGCATTTATACTAAACTTCCATTTGTCACATGGTATATAATAAAACAAACTAGTTGTTATTAAACTAATCTTACTTTCGTTATCATTAATGTTCTCACACTGTGTGATAAACTGTGTAGGATATTCCAAAGTTTATGATATTTTCGGATAATTTAAATGCGTATAATTTTATTACTATTTGTTGGTATACTTGTAATTCTCTGTTGTAATACTGGATCGGATTGTTCGACCTCCTTTGTCATATGGCCTCATGTGCGGATGTCTCGATATTGCCTGGATATTTATTATGATAATGTACTTGGTTGTGGCTGGCAAAGGAATCCAGGATGTGTGTTTCGTCATATTTTGGAAACTCACGTCCTGGATTCCCCTGCTAACCATAACCAAGTACGTCATCGTAATAAATATTCAGGGTGTAATGTTGTTGAAATACTTGTTTTTACTTATTTTACTCATTACGGTTGGAAGCTATTTATTTTTCTTGCTAGTCCTTACTTCTTTCAATAGTGTATTTTTGGTACTGTTCTTACGTTATCTTTGGGTTACTTATTTGAAGGAATAATCACTACAGATGGATTTTCTTTGTACTTTTTTTGGACTTGGAAAAAGTAAGTTGAGCATAAAATCAAATCAAAAAAGACTTCTTGAATTCACCCATTTTAGTTTATGAGGTTCCACTGGAATTTTAGGCGCAACTTCAATTTTCAAATCGGTCTTCAGATATATAGATATTACCACGTAAACCTGATGAATTCGTTCTCTCACCCAGAAGGCGATATCTGAGTAACGCATCCATTTGAAAACGAACACTCCTACCAGAATATTTTGTTGCTGCCACCTTAAACTGATCAGTGTTATCCCAGAACCCTCTAACTGCCATGCTTCAACGCATCCACACTAGCCAGGTAATCGGTTGTTTGATCCTGCTAGCCTTCCCTTTGGCAGACGTGAGTGGGACGTCTTTCACTGAAATCTCCGCAATCTTTCCAAAAAGATATTTCCCTAGGAGATCTAGACCATGAGCCTATAATGTCAATAGGTTCAAAGCAGCTTCCATTGGACTACTGAAATACAGCGACAACTAAAGCTTAGAATACCGGCATTCTGAGTCAAATGTCGCACACCTTTGTAAAGCAAGCCTACAAATGTCCCTGTGGACTGCTTCAACAACAATCATGACGGGAGAGACCCATGTCACTGATCTTGTGTATATGGATCCCGTCAACTGAGGTTTTTGCCAAGCCAACTTCAAGGTGTGTTGGCTGATATCCAGTGGGGCTACGAGAAGGCTCACCATCGTACCCAAAAAGCCCCAGCCCGCAACCCTCTGTACTCACAACACTTCCGATTTTCCTGAGTCAGCAACAATATCTCAGTACCACTTAACTTCACTGTGCAAAGATTTTTCCCTTTGATGACCTGATATGTAAATATGGAAATCTATACTGTCTAGAGAGTCACTGTCATTTCTTCTACTGATAATTCTTGTTTTACATCTGTCTTCCTCTCTTTTCAAATTATGCTGACTGATAGCTAAAAATTCAGTCAGTATCACTCAGTGTGTTACTATGATACATCCAGGTGATGACAGTTCCTATGATCACTCTATTTCAAGGCAACATTTGTCATTAACGACAATTCTTGATAAATAAAGATCATATTTGTTGCCAATCTTATTCTGTTTGCTGTCAACATGTTTTCTTTAAACAAAAGAAATGGTTATTTATTATCTTTATGGATAAATTGAAATGCAGAAAAAAAATCATAAAACAGATTTGAATAAAAACAGAAACATTAAGTTGATGAAATCGGTCATGAAGTGACTGGTTTATTGTTCATGATATTTTTCAAGAAAATGTCTTAAGCAAAAAAAGCAGATGACCAGTTGACAGTTGAACATTATAGTTTTGTACATGGGGATAATGTTTTATGCATATTAATGAAGAAAAAAAGACATGAAAGCACAATAACCTTACGAATGAATGAAGAGACAAATATATGATATCCAGTGATGGTAATAATAACCAATGGACAATGAACAAACAATGAAACATTGATCAACTTTAAAAAGAAATAACAACATATTGGTGATAACACTGATTGATAGTAATACTTACAATTAAAGTGATATGTAGAAAAAAATTAGATTTTCAATATTTGTTTAATTTTGATGTTATATCAATGTCATCTCCTTATTATTTTTATATCCTAAACGGTTATAGTTGATCACTCAACTTTTAAGATAATGAATGGAATTTATATGATGTAAGTCAGTACTTTTTATCGTTTAAAATAAGCAAATTTCAACTCTTGTTACCTATACAACAATAATAGGAGAAGCATAATTGAATGAAATCTTAAATAACAATTTACATATTGACAAGAAATGTACAACGTCATTTGACTTTTTCCTCTTTAGTCAAGTTTGTAAAGAAATTAATTTTAGCGGCTATATCTGATTTTGTATTAGGTAATACTTTCCTTGGTTTTGAAGGTGTTTTTTGGTTAAAATTTAGATGTATATTAGTAGTTGCTGTTGTAGAAGTGGTTGTTGCCTTATTGCCGCTGCTACTGATACAACTACTATTTGTAGTAGTGTCTTTGGTCGTACCAGGTACTGTTTTAACTATTACAGTTGGTGTTTTGTTACTCATACCAGTTGATGAAGATGTATCCTTCTCACTAACCGGAATCAATGTAGATTTTTTACTAGACAACTGGCTAGAAGAAGTTTTTGAAAAAACTGGTGCTGGTGGGAGTGATGGGGATTTCGGTGTTGAAGATGACTTTGTATCATTCATAGTTAAAGGTGTAAACTGATTTCGCTGTGATATACTGTCTTTTTTTGGCATTTTAATATTAGTTGACGAAGAAGAATCCTTTCGAAGCTTAGAAGTTGATCCGATTGACTCTGAAATAATTGAAGACCTGGAGTTTTGTTCACTGATTTCAGGTTTATTTAAAGAGCTCTCTGATGACATTGATCGTTGATTTGACTTATTTCTCTGAAACAGAAAACCTTTACCACCTTCTTTACGTTTTGTTTTAAATGATAGGCCTAACTTATTTTTGTGTGGTGAAGATGGACATGAAGGATTCTCACCATCTTTACTTTTATTACTTGTAGCAGTTTTGGTAGTAGCTATAGTATTGGTATCACTCTTCCGTGTTTTATTAAAAAAACTTCCTTTGCGAAAAAAACCCGTAGACGTTTTAGGAACTTCAACTGGTGAACTTTCTTTACCACTTATTGTCGATGGACTACTCGTTGGTAGTTTACTTCCAGTTACCTGGGGATATTTCTTCGATTCATTTTCGAGTGATCTTTTAACTGTTTGTTGTAAAGAATGACTATTTTGTTTTGCACGGAGTATTGGTGAGTGTTGAAGTACTACACCCATACGCTGAAGAGCAATAATTGCATTAACAGCTTTCTAAAAAGAGAAATAGCATTACTTTAAAGTTGTATTCATAAAAAATTGTTATAATATTCTTATGGTGATATGACGAGAAAATTGGTAGAACGTCAGAAAAGTGTTACATTAAAAAGAATAAATGTTCTAGCAATCGGCTCATTCACGCACACCCCAGCAAGCACTAGAAATTTGCATGAACTCAATGTTTTACCTCTCTAGTTAAACTGAGATAGGTAGACTTTTCCTGAAATTATAAGGAGACATCGTAGGATTGTTTTTTCTCAGTATTATAGGACTCTTTGTTGTCAAGTGCTGATGATATTTCTTAGGTTTTAAGCTATAAAATACCTTCTTTGTTTAAACAGTCACATCAGTACTTGAAAGTACTTGGTTGTATTAAGCTTCACTCATAGTTTGTAGCTTCATAACACTTGCTGCACACATAAGGGTTGCTCACTTTTAATTCATATTTTTCAGTAAGATGTTCTGTAGTATATGTAATACAATTCAAAAACCAAATATAGTTTGGTTGGGGAAAGCTATAAGATAAACCTTCGAAGTAAACACCTGTAATATTGGTTGACTGCCTGAATCTCAACCTGTGAATCCGCATCAAAATTTTAACCTTTTATTTACAACTAAAACATCTGAGCTAATGAGTTACAAGTCTACTGGAAAATATTGCACTATATATGCTAACTAAACTTCTACTGCCATCTAGGAAAGACCGAAACAGTCCTCTAAGACGATCATTGGAAATGAAAACAGCCACTTAATTTCTGCACAGAATTTCTGATTTCACATAACATATCAGGTGTGGAAAATAGAGATATGTTTTTGTCTTATCCTGTCAAAGTAGAGTAGTTTGTAATGTTCCAAAGTAATACAGTAACTACATTATTCATAGATAAACTGAATTGACAATGAAATTGTAAACTCGTTACTATAGTCAGGCAGTCAGAAAACAGCACATTTATTGGTGATTTATTTGAAGGTGTGCAGAAAGCAGCATTGTTTTTCTATGTAAAACCGAAAACTGGAAAAAATGAATCTTTGATTAAATTTATAGATCATCATGAACAGAAATGTTTCAGAAATAGGACAACTCAAGCAGTGCTTGACAGCTGTTTTGAATAACTTCCTAGATGTATACCACTGTGTGGAATATCCCATCCATAGATTTCAACTTTTGGTTATATGTTGTTACAGCGAGCCTAAAATGAACCAGTAATCCAGAAGAGTTGTTTCAGAATCCTGAATATGAATCCTGATTTGAATATTGACAATAAATTATGTCCGAAATGTTATCCAGTAAATGCTACTGTTTCACTGTGTGATATTTTTAATAAACAGACTAAAATAGTATTATATTTTAGTATAACTGTTTATTCATTTACTTTTTCTTATTTTAGATACAGGACACTTACGTTCTCATGAATATTATGTCTTTACTGAATCACAAAAATGGAGAGTAATTTCTAAAACGGATTTACAGTTTTTTGATTACAAGCATAATATTCCCCCAGTGAAAAAATTTTTACGTCGAATTTTTAATAAGGCAAACATTTCGCATCTGTGAAGATATCAGTAATTTCCCGTTGCCGTACTGGCTAGAACTCCTCGATACTTTAGCATTTTAGGCTGTCGGTAATAGGTTCTAGTCCAAATGGGAGTAATATCACTCACTGGGGTGGAGGGACATCCAGCTGAAGAGTCAAAAGTGGGACGAAACATATCCCATGGAGTCGACTACTGGCTATCAAGTACATTACAGTATTGATCATTACCTCAATCCCTATATTTCATGTTGAACAACTTAAATTGGTGCATATCACAAGCAACAACATATAAAGTAATGAATGATATTGGTAATTTTAATAACTTTTTCTTTTGTCAACTGGCTATTACGCTGCTTAGCTGCTAGTAAGTCAAAATATTAGCCGTGGATCGTCGAAAGAAGTCATTTACGTCATCATACTGCGTTTCATACAAATATTTACTGCGTGCTTAGCAGAAGTCTTTAGTTCTTCTGAGGAGGACAACTACATCTAGACACATGGAATACTATGACTAATTTGCCTTTGATATTTACATAATGGGAATCACAGTGCATCATAAATGACCAATTATATTTTCTCAGTTTAACTAATATTTTGAATCGCTGATAGCTTACTTGCCATTTGCGCCGATAAACAAAGTGTTTTAGGCGCTTTTTGCTGACAGTCCCAGAACGTTTCAGTGCTTTCTTCTTCTGCTAAAAAGATCACGAAAATAATAATAATAAAACAAATTAGCATTATGGAAGGAAAATAAAATAAATGTAGATCAATAATAAAATACATACAGAAGCAACCTAGAGGTTCATGGAAACTATATTTCTTATTTTCTAAATGAAGTACTTGTGGTAATAACTATGGGTTACATGTTTGTTATCATGTGTTAGTAAAAGATATAAATTACTGATTCATCTGTAAATGTTTCAGTCACTTTCATTATAGGTCGGCTTATCTCCACTGCTAAATCCATACTGATTCAAACCGTTTAAAAAGTGGTCAACTATTTTTCATTCTAGTTCAAAATTCCTTAAAATCCAATTCCTTTGGCATCTTTTTGCAAAGAATCTCAATACATTTTCTTCTGAAGGAACAAAAGAAAGCTGAAAGATCTTCAGGTCTAAATTCAGTAGACTAATTTTCACTCCTAGTGCTAGATAGCACTTTACTGTGGTATCCAACCAACCAGTGGATGACAAGTTCAATAAATAGAAATACTGGTTTATAATAACAACTGAAATGTCAACAGGGTTCCTCTTGGAAACCACTCAGCCAAGATACAAAGGTATGATCTCTAACACAAAAGTATCACGAAGTGATGAAACATTCTGCTGAAAGACACGAGTAATGAGAAACCATTTAGGCTGATCTTTAGATTTCGAAAGCCAGATCAGAGTGCACTAAGCACTGGACGGCAGTTTTACTAGTTTAGAGCTGAGACTATCAGTGATGTACCCAGATAAATTCAGACCACAGAATCAAATTGTTCAGATCGCCTAAATATGGCCCGCTGTCTTGGATGGACAAGTATACCGTAAATAGGATCATAACTTTGTAAATGATTTTCAAGAACACCTACTAGATACATAGCAGATATACAGCTGTACCATATCCCACAGTAGTTAGTGTTTCTCAACGAAGTTATTCAACTATCTTGAATTATCTTCCATCAGAAACTTGGGATGTTTTTTCCAAATTTTTACTAGATAAACAGGCATCTGTAACGGATTGCCTAATCTTTATGGAAATATACTGAAAGGAACAGTTTGAAGTACTATGAATTAACTGCTGAAAATTCATTGAATTCACTTACCTTCAACCACTGATGCTGTAAACATTCGGTTGCTGTAAGTCGTTTTCTATAAAACCAAATCAGAAGATTATCGTGTTAATTGAAAGGTGAGGAAAGCATTCAAAAGAACAAAGTATAAAGCACTAATTTTATGCTTAAATCATAAAACCATTATTCTTGACAAGTTAACTTTATTCTGGAAGTAAAGGTTGGAAACACACTCCGCTTACTACAGTCGCATTAGCTAGTGAAAAATCGACAAAAACAATCCAGCGAAGAAAATTTTCATTTCGACGAAGCATTTCCAAAAGCCGTACAACCGTAATCATAGTTACAACAAATATATATCCACCAGTAACTAATCGGTCAAAATAAAGTCATCGTAAAAGGCCAATAAAATAGCAAGGTGACAATGGCCAGAAGGTCAACTCAAAGTCATCAAAATTCCCTATAGGATTACAACAAATAGACAAACAGTAAACAAAGAAAATGAATAAAATATCTTAGAGAAATTACGACCGGGACAAAATTAGAGATTGAATGTATTTCTTTCAAATGCAAAGATCAGGCTTGAACTGCTGAATTGCCAAAACCTCTGATGAGTTGAGGTGGCGGATACGCACTCCTTTCGAAATGTTTGGTTTCACTTTGTAATGACTTTGAAAAAAGACTCGTGAAGCAAAGTGACCATAGATAACCGAATGCTCAAGAATCGAACTGTTGATGGCTTTACACTCCCCTTTAGACAGCCACACAGGATAGGGCTCGGAGATGCTTTTTGATAAAAGATGCTTTGTGTGACGTATGTAACCTGTTCCACAGAAGCAGGTAAATTGGAAGGAGCATGTATGTTTGGTCCCCAGGGGTAGTTTATCATTTACACACCCTTAAATCAGTTATAGACTGATGAAAAACTCCTAATCTGGGTGGAAAAGAGGTATTTCGTCTTTGCTTTGAGAAATCGATGACTGATTCGAGGGGTGGTAAGGATGAACTGTAGCTTGAGACTAAACACATGTGCTCCTACCAATTTACCTGCTTCTGTGGAACAGGTTACATACGTCACACAAAGCATCTTTTATCAAAAAGCATCTCCGAGCCCTATCCTGTGTGGCTGTCTAAAGGGGAGTGTAAAGCCATCAACAGTTCGATTCTTGAGCATTCGGTTATCTATGGTCACTTTGCTTCACGAGTCTTTTTTCAAAGTCATTACAAAGTGAAACCAAACATTTCGAAAGGAGTGCGTATCCGCCACCTCAACTCATCAGAGGTTTTGGCAATTCAGCAGTTCAAGCCTGATCTTTGCATTTGAAAGAAATACATTCAATCTCTAATTTTGTCCCGGTCGTAATTTCTCTAAGATATTTTATTCATTTTCTTTGTTTACTGTTTGTCTATTTGTTGTAATCCTATAGGGAATTTTGATGACTTTGAGTTGACCTTCTGGCCATTGTCACCTTGCTATTTTATTGGCCTTTTACGATGACTTTATTTTGACCGATTAGTTACTGGTGGATATATATTTGTTGTAACTATGATTACGGTTGTACGGCTTTTGGAAATGCTTCGTCGAAATGAAAATTTTCTTCGCTGGATTGTCTCTTGTCAACATTTACTAAAGACAGCTAATCGTTATCAATTCTAGTTGAAACCTATTCAGTTAACAAATCTGTCGGTTACTTTCTGATCTTGCATAGCTTCAGTGGTTCGAGATTTGAACAAGGCATGACATGAAAGTTCTTCTAGTCATAGAAAACTAAAGAATATGTAAACTGCATGCAAGCACTCTTCTTAGAATGGAGAATTTACAACTGAAATCTATACCAGCTGTTTTTGACATCTTCAGTGGCCGTAACAAGTCTGTGTAAATTCCTAATCCTCTAATTAGCTTCTTCCCTGAAAACGTGCGATGAAGTTTTCTAGGGATGATGAATGGTATAAATTCCCGGAGGCTAGATCAAATCATTATAAGAAGGTGTTTTACTACAAACTTAGATTGTTTAGAAAATCAAGGCACGATTTTCCTGTACGGTTCACCTCTATTACAGTCTAACAAGATGCTCTTAGGAGCTTCAAATACTAAACTTGGTAACCTAAGGCACTTTGTTGCAGATATTTCAAGAAGTTCCCCAGTTTTCATGGTGTCGTTAAGAATATGAACTCAAAGGATCCAGTAAGTGTAGGTCTTTTACCGAACAGAACACGCCCTTGAGAAATTACATTTATCTGATACTACTAGTAAGGCACTCAGTGACCTGAATGATTAGGCATATTATTTATCAACCTGATATGCCTTAGAGCCGCATCTCAAGAATAGTATAGAGTAGTTTTAATAGTAAACAAACTACTTTTCAAATGCTTCAAAGAATGACCGGTAAGTGAGTTTGACTAAAACATACAAGAAATTAAATCAGTACAATCTTATGGCAATTAATCGAACATGGTTAAGATGCTTTACATAATATGCCGAAAACAACATTTTTTCGGTATTGTTTACCACTGCGATGCCCAAAATATTCATTCTATCTCATTCTCTCTGATATAAAATCATTTAGAGGATTAAAATTAACACAATGGTAAATCGTCTGATAACAAAAACCACAACTGAGAATACATATACCAATATATTCCAAGTTAGCTTAAGATGTATGCCAAATGTAATGAATGTTTTCGTTTGTTACTCGGGAATGAAGTACTATTATTTTTTACATAAACGTCATCAAGGATCTAAAACTATACTTCAATAAATCAATAGATTTACTGAACTTGTGGAGAAACTAAGTGTTCTGCTTTTTAACTTATCGTTGTTTACCGTTTGTCATGTTAATTCCACAACAGAGGTGAAACTATTCTTACTAATCATAACATGTTGCCTAGATTGTTTTTCTTTTGCAAATACTTACCAAATAATTACTTTATAATCTGTCAGTAATAATAGCCTCAGTGATATTCCGCTTCATACAGTTTCTTCTTAGTATGAGAATTGTATCAACACTCTAGAATGTTTTAGTTGTTATGGCACAGGAAATATTTTACAACATAACGGATTTCATATATCTACTGGAACAATTTGAGTTAAATGTTGAGTTTTTATTCGAAGGTTGGTTTTGCCAAACCAATTAGTTTGGTGTGTTACTGAGATAAATTTTATTTTTTAAGATAACTTTTGCTTTGAAAACATCTTTGAAATAGTTCCAAACGAAACTAGATCTAGTCTACTGCATACTGATCTCATGTATTGTTGCGATACATATTTTCCAGTTTAAGGTAAACCGAATAAATGCTAATTTACCGATTACGAAACTCAAATCTCATGACTGAACTCTTTGTGAGTTTACGATGCCAACAGTTTTGTCTTTTTGAGTTTGGATGAGAAACTTATTAAATAACATCTAGTTTTGAATTAATTTAAGTCTGCAATGTTAGTATGTATTTGGATCGAACAGTTAAACACATTACACGCATGTAGGTGATGTGTCAATGGCCTCCTCTACTTCTTAATAAGAAAGCAATTTTCAAGTAGGAAATATGGTAAAACTATCCAATTAAATTCCCGTAGAATATTGCATCTCACTGGGGACTTTATAGATTGACGTTGATAAGTTGTTGATAACTTGTGACTCATGAATCAGACACACCTGCGTATATATGAGTGGTACTTTCTACTTTAGAGTTAAGCTAACCACCAAAAGAACATTTTACCGTAATATCAAAGCGTATTCTGAAAGAACATATGTACCGATTGTGATAGAAGGGGTTCGGTCAAGTAAAATGGACGAAGGGAACTGACAAATATACAGCGAATAAAAACTTTACATGCTATAAAAAGAAACGGTAGTAAACAGAATAAGAGATGGGTTTATGCATTTTAAGCTGATTTCTTTATTATATTTAAAAGTGAAGTAGCTATTGAGAACAAAAGGATGTTCTCATCTACTTTAGACACTTTGAAAATTCACAATACATGATTAAAACCGTAGGATATACATATTTAACAGTGTAACTGTTAATTCACAGTAATAAATTGCTCCTGTGTCTCAGCCAGAGGATGTCGAAAACCTGATGTCATTGTACACCTTGACTACTAATGGTTAGTTTGATGATGGTATGTTCAAGGTTCGTCTAAAACTGTAAACATTATCAGATAGAATTTATTGATTTCATGTTAGTGTTCGTCATGGACTGACATCGGTTGGAGAAAAATTGAAAAAAAGGGAGCACTGGACAGTTAGCTCTTCCTAGTATGGGACTCCTCAGCAGTACGGATCGATGACCGTAACAAAGATCGAACCCATGACCTACGGGTTCCGTGGCCGTGACGTTGTCATTGAGCCACTTGATCTGAATCCAACGGTCTATTTTTTCTACCTCTCACTTTACGGTAGGATTAAGTTTACACATACAAGTGGTGTGACTTTATTCATTTTATATATGAATGTGTGGAGAAACTAAAAATAGATAAAACATAAAGTTACCTTGGATCTTTCACTAAAAGCTTCTTAATAAAATCCATTGCATCATTAGAAATTTCTGCAAATTCTGGATAATCAAAGTTGTATTTGACTCGCATAATATTAGCTAATGTTTCTCCTTGACTTTCACCCATAAATGGGGATAATCCAGAAAGCCTGAAAATAATGTCGTGAAGTTAAATTGGAAGAAGATTACAAGTTAGAAATATAAAGGGAAGGATGAATATATTTTTACACCTTGGAATTCTAAAAATGTGATATCTACCAAGCTCATGAACCTGTATTGAATTTCTACTCCTAATTTAGACAGAGTAATCAGAAGATGAAGTTTATTTGAACAATGTGATTTATTTTCGCAATCCATTTCGAACAGTCTAATCAAGTCAGTATGAAGTCAATTTATGTAAAATTGAAGGATCGGATGACAAACAGAACAATTAAAGTGAGGTGTGAAACTTTGATAAGCGCAGGTGGGAGACAACTATTCTCATCTGTAGCTAAACATATTATAGAAACGGATCGCAAAATTAATGTTTAAACAGTTTTCAGAGTTTTAAATAGAAACAATCAGGTAAGCACACTGAGATTTTGCGGAAGCAATAGCCATAGACGAATTGACTCTGTTTTTGAGTGTACAAAGACAATTTGTTCTTACACTAAACCTACTTTGTTTTCTTACCAAGATTGGGATCAACTATATGGCTCCTCTATTTTGTTCTCATCTTCCTTATTTTTAATGAACTATAATTCTAATATTTCTGTTTGTCCTCCAATTCTTTAGTTTAATATAAATTGATTTGACAAGTAAATGTGTGATCAGACTGTTTGAAATGTATTGCACAAATACATCGCACACATAGTTTAGAAAAACTTCGTTTTCTGATTACACCATCTAAGTCCAGAAAAGGGGCTAATCGTTTCAAATTTTTGAATAGATGACTCCAATGGTACTATAACCCCCCTACACATTTTTGAAAATATCAACAACTTGTGAAACCTACACAACAGAAATAGGTACATAGATCAATTTCAATTAAAACTGACTGGATTGAAAATATAATTTGGTATAATAACAGTTGAAAAAATTTCCTTGTTTCCCAACCGTAATTTACAGTTTTTATCTTAAGGTTAGGATGTTGTGTATGGACTGTATGCACGCTACAGGTTCAAGAAGTAAACTATTACGCTTTAATTTTCGCTTACTATGCACATTCACTACTCTGACCACTTTATACAGCAACCTGTGTGTATCAGATGACCATTTGAGATAACCGTGGCTTGGCAGACTTGTATATATATTGGGTGATGGTTGAAGGTGTACTGAAAATCTGGTTCACAAAAGGATTCGAACCAGCGACCATTTGGTTTCTGATCTGATGTTCTACAAAACGAGCTACAAAACTCGAAGGCTGACCAGATTTTCAATTCGCTTCAATCACCAAGGGTCTTGACCAACTGGGAAACCAGTGCAAGTACGATCAAGCGATACGAATGTGTCACAAATTCACGCGGCAGTCGGGGGAAACCCTTGGTGATCGAGGTGAAATAAAAATCTGGTCAGTAGTCAGATCTTGTAGCTCAGTTGGCAGGGCACCAGCTCCAAAACCTGGTGGTCGATGTTTCGAACCATGCAGCTACTAGAATTTCCATTAACTATGTATAACTAGGAATGGTTTACGTGTTATGCCTCTAAAAATAACTTATATAGACTGGGCTAAGGATAATATAGATTTCTGTATTTTCACAATTGGTCGGAAACATACATTCAGTTGATATTAGGGGAAGGGTAAAGGCTACATGTTTTATAGTGTTAAGTATGCTTTATGGTTAATTCCTCCCATTTTATATATATATATATATATATATATATATATATATATATATATTTAAATGCTCATCTTAGATCTTAATGTCCTGAAGAAATTCAAATCACCTTTCTTTTTATGTTGGCAGTTTGAACATCTTGTGCCCATAGGATTACTCTTCACTCATCAGATTCTAGGTATTTTGCCTTTTCTTTCCTCAATTTGAGATCTATGAGGACTCATTTACTGACTTCAAGTTGATACTCATCTTGGACTGACATCAGTTGGAGAAACAATGGAAACCAGGGGGCACTAAAATAGCTGTTTCGTCCCGGTGTGAGGCTCCTCAACAGTGCGCACCCATGACCCAGCTCACCACTGATCAGACCCACGACTTTAAGGTCCCGCGGCCAGCACACTCCAACTGAGACACTGGGTCGGAACCTAGTCATCCGTTTTTCCTGCTTCTGCCAGTTTACGATGTAGTGCAACCTCTATCCAATGCCGTCGTTGAGTAACTGTCCTCATGTTCGACTTGTCTGGCCCTACTGGTCACTACTTCTCACTGGAACTACAGGAAACACCTCTCGAAGCTATTCATCAATGGACACTAGATAACTCAGTTTGAAGATTTGTGAGGATTGATTTATTGATTTTGGGTTGGTATTCCTTCTCTGCAAACTCATACTTTATCAGTTCAAAAATTTACTCATCGCACTTTAAATAAATAGTTCGTTGAGTGCGCACTTTTTGAACGTATATACAAGTGAACTGCCACTATACAACTATGTTAACTATTCCATTTTTTCGCGAAACACCATCTGCTCTGATATATGATAAGGTTGTGAAGCGTCATTAACTACTAAAATTGCTGTTTGTAAAAGCTTGTTCTTTTCTCTCTGTGCGCGGTTAACTTAAAAATCAATAGATATCTATACGTATGATGTTTTATTCATTCTTTCAGCATCAAGAACTGACAAATTTAAGAAATCAAAGCATTATTTCCAAAGGAAATAACTATGTAATTGCCTTTAAAATTTGTGGTCCGCTTTTCAAGAGATTAAACAGTGACTAGTTGTGTGCTGAATATAAACAGATAACACTGTTTTCTGGTATATGGATATCTTTACTTTTATGCCGTTTTGTCTGTTAAGCACTGCATTCTAGTCAAATTTGCCAAACATATATCAGACATTCATATGTTTACATTCCGGTATGTTACACTGCTTATGAGTTAATTCATACTTGATTCAGGTGATATCTCAAAAGAAAATGCTACCCAACTACTAGAATTCAATAATAAGTTAAGGTATTGTGGGATGAGCTGATACCATAAGTTTCATGAAAAGATAATTTAATATTTATGCCAAATTAACACAATTCATAGGCAAATCTCTAAAGATAAATAATACATGCATTGCAAAAGGCGGATATTGTAACTCGGTAGTAATCCATTAAAACTACATTTCGATCTACAGAAAAACTGTTCAACAAGAGAATTTCATCGAATATCTTTTCACAACGAACTGCAAAAATATTCAGGTGCTAGATGGAACTCTCATCGTTATTTTACTGCTGTTTATCAGTAAAAGAGCATCCCAAGTTGGCATACGAATCACAAAAATCGAAGTAAATGACCATTTGAGTTGGTTTTATTCACCTAAAGAAGGATCTAACTTACATAACGTAGCATATTACACCAAGTGACCACATATCAGCAGCTGGTGAAACCGGTTCATATGAAATAACTTCAGGAGAGACGAATTCTGGTGTGCCAAATAGGACACAGAGATGTTGATTTTCATAAAATCTAGCCAGTCCAAAGTCAATTATTTTTGTTTTGAAACTTGTTGTTGATAAACATAAAATATTTTCAGGCTGAAATACAAAATTAAAGGAATTTGAAGTGATTATGTTGATGAAATACAATTTAATGGCTTTCACTTATGAGAATAATAATAATCTAACATAATATATATATATATATATACATATGTATATAATAATAATATAGTAATATAATTAATGAAATTTTATAATGATACTGAGATCTTAGATCTATTTTTTATGACTGCTGATAGTAATCAGTGGTTAAATGGAATACATATCCATGGGTACAGTCATTTTTAATTAACTATACCCTAAGGTTATGGAATTGTATGCTGCCGCTTTCATAACAGTATTAACTAGGTTCACTAGCTATAACCACGCATGATAAATTTCGCATATCAATATAGAGTTATGGTTTCTAATTTAACATGTCTCACTTCTAAAGTTAACTTGAAGCTGTTGAATGAAATTACAAAAAACACAAGGTTATGAGAATTTTTAATGATAGCTAATGATTGGGAGTAATCCTGGTGGATAAAATAAGCATTTGGAGAAAAAACGAATAGTGTTACATGAGTAACGATTTAAAATAGATGATATGGGTAGGTCTGTATTCGCTCAACTGAATATCAGGGTTTAAAAAACAAAACTGCGTTAGTATTTAACTGTGGTGGTGCCAAAATAAATGATCCTCTAAACCTAAAATTCCATGAACATGTAGAGCTACACAGAACGAATAATTTATCATCACCAGTCTTATTTATCATGAAACATGCCAATGATGGACTATCTAGGTGGTCAGTTATAATACTAAATTTGCTGAAAAAACGTTTTTATGAATGACTGTCACAGACTGGTTCCACTTATTTCAAGAAAGAATTATTGAAGACGGAGTGTTAAATAGTGATGGCAACTGATTCTCCAAATTTTAGTAGCTCAGCATTTGTTTTATTTGGTTATTGTTTAAAAAGCCATGGAGATGTAGACGTCGTGTTCTGCATTCATCAGATGTTTAGTAATGGAACTGTCAAGGCACTTTGGCTCTTTTCAGTCCATACTTGCGTCATACTTTTTATTCCATTTTGATTGGATACATGTAACAAGATGACAATCTGACTATATAAACATAAGATAACTTCAATTTTAGTGATCACAAATTATTTCATTTGAACTTCCTTAATCTGTATCAATTCTTTCATTATGTCATCAATGGACTGTCATCTTCTTGACAAGTGAATTATATGAATTTCATTTCTGTTTATGTATATCTTATGAATTTGTAGCCTGTAAGCAGTTGAAGAGAAGGTGACGAAATACAGTGAACTCATCATATTTTATTAGATTTCTCGTTCTAGCTTTGATATAATTTTGAGGGAACCAATTATATGAAGTAATAAAGTTGACAGTCATAATGACAGTGTTACCGAAAGCAGTCGTAATATAGATGATAATAATGATGGGAATCAAGAAAGTGGCATAAAAATGTAGACACTCCGATGACCAAAGTGGGTCGAGAGCTTTGAAAAATAAAAGTTGCGTAACGCTGAAGGACAAAGTAAGTAGGTTAACGTAGTCTAAATAACTGTAAACAGTCTATGAAACAGGTGGAGGATAAGAAAGAGACAGAAAACTTCCAACGATAAAGCTGTTTATTGAGTATTTCCTGATAAGGAAAAAGATAAAGGATACACAACCTTCTTCCGAATACAATGACTTTGATTATCAGCTCAAATTCCAACAGCTTCTTCTATGTGTAAAAGACGAGTGTGAATATCTTTTGAAATATTTGGTGGTGTACTATGAGTTATATTGAAAGCACTTGCGTTTATGATACTAGTTAACACTTAACAAGGAATTTCATTTCAAGTGGAATGAAATTTGGACATTTGTATAGGTGAGTGTTAATTCATTGACCCGGTGATAATTTCGCCACCAGAAAACATAAAGCAATGCACTTTAACCTTGTTGAAATCCAAGAGAATGAGCTCTATGATGACTCTGAAATAAAAATCTTTCCTTTATATCAATGAGTACTCATCAAACCTATTTTCCACATTATTTTATTCTGTAAACAAATGGTAAGTGATAACAGAGGGAACTAAGTATTTTGGCAATATTGTGATAAATAAAAAAATAAAAGAGATATTGAGAATTATCATAGAAGAAACGTTAAGCAGTAACACACTAAGGAAATTGTAACTTCCTTATTCTACTCAATTTATATGATAGGTTAACTGGAAGTGCATCGGAATCTCCAGTTACTTCGACGCTTCACTTCAAACCATAATATGATTCAAATTCCTTTCAATTGTACTAATCATTCCTTTATGTTCCAAAAGAACTTATTCATATAAATATTCTCAAATAGAATAGAATAGCGATTTTATTATTCCTTATTCCTAGGTTCATCTTCAAAATGAGCGGCAGTGGCTACTGTCATGGCGAATTCCATTTCGATACTAAGCATTTATTTTCATCCTTAAGTTCTCCATACACATTCTTAGATGAAGTTCAAAAAACCGATTTTGATAGTTTAAAGTAGTTGGCTAGTCAGTGACTTCCAGTTAATTTTACTTGTCTTATTTGCTGAGTATATAACCTAATGTTATTTTTTTATTAAAATTGGTAACTGATTTTCATACCTATTGGTATAAGTCACTAATTATTCCTTCCCTTGATGAGTTGGTAATTGACAATATCATATGCTTTAAAAATCAATGAATTAACATCCTCAGCATTCATTCTCCTTTGTGTCATACTTATTATCCATGTGCGTACAGTGTCCATACTATCGATATCAGGCCACTTTTTGTGTTAATAAGTTGTATCTTGAGGATTCATACAATCCAATTACTTGTTTATACACTAATACATTCACAGCACCCTAAGCTGTAAGCTTATTTTTACTATTTCTGCATCACTGGTGCGTCCATTAGGAACTGTGCATGCAAAACACGTTACTTATATGAAAAAGATCTTTCTTATTTTGTTTTAACCAGTAATGTAAATATTCATGTGAATATTGTCAACAGAATTCCATTCATTTTGGAAAATGTTATTTCTATTTATTTCTTCAGTGAAACATTTAACTGATGCAAGTTTTTGAGTTGACAATTTCTTTCCCCTTTTAATATATCTACTTCACATAAAAACTCTGAATAAATACTTATGTTTATAATAATTCATAACTGCAAGAAATTAATTATAAAATAATGATTTCTCTACGACTGCTGTAGACAGTGGAACGAAAGTTTTCTGAATAATCTAGCTATGTAATCAGAGACAGAAGGCATACCATTAAATGACTTTTATCTGACATTTCTTAGTGAATTATTACATACAGAAATTTTGTATATTCATCTTTGTTCTCTTATTTGCTGAAAGCTAAACCATTTTTCATCACCTCTTCAGTTGAACATTATTATTTTTCATAGACTTAAAAATAAACTTTAATACAGCATGTAATTGTTGAAAATATTATAAAAGTTATGACTTTATGAAGACTAATCCAGACAGAATTGAAAATGTGATTTTATTCACTAAGAGATGGTTTTACGTCATACTTTTCCATTTGATTTGTCTGTTAAAATAGGACACTACAACCACATTACATTCTGTAAACCTTGATACCTGTATCTAGTATGACTAATGCTACTGCTCTTTAGGCCATATCTAAAAAACTTCCAAAATAGTGTCAGTCAGATGGAGACAGTTCATATAAACCTTCTGATTAGTTCAAATAAATGCATACTGGTCAAGAAGAATTACTTGGTTTGACATACTGTGATGATGACGACTGAGAATGGACCCATGGTACTACCCTACTGTTTCTTGGAAGAAATTCAGAAAATCCTACGCCTTCTTTACGAATTCACTGCTTTCTTCCCATAAAAGAGGCAGTCATATCTGTTACTCTTTCGTTTGTTTTAAGGTAATGCGAATATTTTTGCTGGAATTTAGATACATTTTCCATGATAGTATTATTGCTTGTACTTCTTATAACAGTTGGTAGAGTTTTGGAAACTAATTTATACACTAAGCCAGGATTTTATTCTCAGCGCTATCGGTTTATCGATTCATAGAAAAAGTGTCAATAGGCATTGCTTTTTGGTGTTATATTACTTCAGGGAAAAAGAGTTTCAGGATTAAAGCCACTCAGCATAATTTATTCTCGGTTAACCCTTAGGACATATTACATCTGGATTTTAGGCTTTGATGCTGCTCAGCCCTATGTTAAAGCATGTGAAATTATCAGTATGAATAGAATGGCATACTATGAAACTGATCTGTCCACTTCTAGTAATGTTATTCCACACAAAGTAGTGAAGTAGACACAAATTTACTTACTAATCCTTCATATCTGAAAGAAATACAAGTAGCATGAATTACTGGGGTTCTTTCGCAAATAAAATATTCCCATTGTGCTTCTGAGGCATCCCAAATTATCTTGCAAAGGGCTTGAGCAAACTCTTATTCAGTAAAGACTGTCATTAAATAAACAGGATGTGGAACATCTAATCAAATGTCTCATCTAAAACCTGAAAAGGTGAACTGGAGAAGCTGCCTGAATTTAAAAATTTTACTGAGCACAGCTTATCTCAATGACATAGATAACTAATGTCTACTCGGTCTATAAACATGAGAAATAACCTATTTTGTACGCTTGCTTGAGATATTAGTTGTATTTCAGAAAGACAATGCAATATATTTGCTGTAAGAAATTATTGAACTGACTTCTAACGCTTCTATGTCTTCTTCAAATTCTTAAGCTTATATTCAGTGGAGTAAAAAGCTAAATCTAACACTAATGACTCCTCTTGTGCTGTCTAGTCTATCTTTATTCTTTTGAAAATTACCACCGTCATTGAAAAGACCTTGAAAACCATGGTTGCATGAAAAATAGGGATTGAATTTCACCTTATTAGCTTACCAGTTAAATCCGAAACAGGCCAGTGTGAATGGAACAGTCATGTAGCAGCTTCTGGTCTGGTGCAATTAAATATCCTATGCACAACAGAGTTCGTGAGGACGCCATTTATTGAGACCACCCATTATCCAGGAAAATGTGGGTACTATTTCACCAGATTATATTCTATAAGATTTAAGGTTTACTGATTGATATTTCAGTAGCATATCAATTATTCTTAGCAAATGACCTGTCCATAATACATGAAAAGTTGCTGTGCTAAACTCACTTAGAATGAGTATCACATTATGACTGTTGATTTAGTTTAAAAACAATGTACTTACACGATTTTGATTTTACTTACAACACTTTGTTCGTTGAAAGTTATAGGAGATGATACTCTTTTTAAAAACATAGCTCTAATAGATAAACTTTGAATTATTGAGTAGTTTATACTTGCTGACATCAGGATTAACAAAAATATAATAAAATGAACAACAGTATAGTAAAGAAGTATAAGTGAGGATAAAATGGAGATTACCTTTAGATCGAGATGTATCACATTTTGGGAATGCATATATTCAACACCTTGAAGAATTTCATGCATAAATTTTATACACCTGGATTCATTCAAATCAAATGATTCATCAATAATACGTTCAAATAATTCTCCGCCAGTTATCCTATAAATAAACAGAAAAAATAAGTTTTGAATAATGATTGATGTAAGCAGTGGTGTGATTAAGAGGGTTATCTCCATTTTTTATTTCTTCATTATATAGTAACTAGAATGGTAACCGGGACTGCTCACCATAATAAAGTGCTATATTATTTTTTCTTGGTTTTAAGCAGTCAGCGAATGGTTTTTGTCTAGGATAGACATTTTATTTATTTTTTTATTTCATTTGTCTAATGTGTATATATGCACCGACTTTCCGTGGAAACAAACTGCCTTCGTAAAGTTCTTCTACTTCTATTCACCCTCATTATTGCGATCCTTGTCAGATGATCAGTCAGTGAAGTACCTTTTTGACAATAAATTTCCTTAGGTCTACAGTTTTCTGTTAACTGTTGAATGGTACAAAATGAAAGTGGACTTTTAGGTTGAAGAACATGAACAGAAAGGGTGACTCAGTACCATCAATAACAGACTTAACAGGGAAAAGCTTGGTGAATTTCTGATCCCGTCTGTGGTCAGCTGGAATTCTTTCGATAACAGATGGCTTAGGGAAATGCAACTCACTTTCAAGTATTTTGAAAACTGTCAAATTATTCACACTGTATGTTGTATCACTTAAAGGCTACTATACTGCACTAGATAGCAGCTGAGATCTCTTTAACCTTATATACTTTTTTATATATTTTGCCAACAAGTCAGATACCCACATCTTTCTTCAGATCTGTTTAACGTGGCAACTCCTTGTTAAACACTGAATCCCATTAAAGATGATATGACACAAGTGTTACAGAGCAGAATACTATATTTGACTTATCTAATGTTAAGCAATATCAGGCCGGTAACAGACTATTTCGATTGGTAATTACAACTTTTGTAAGGAATTTGTTTGTAGTTGATTAATGTTAATATTGTGTACCGTTTCTGTGAAACACTTGCTTTACAACAAAAGTTTGTTTGCAACCTGCGACAAAACTGGTATATTCTAAGCTTTTAAAATGGCATCACCACGGCAATGATTAATGGTGGGTAACATTGGAATCCAGGACACACATTTCGTCCTGTTTGGAACTCGTCAGCTGGATGCACTCGCCTCACACCAGACAATTCTGTCCCCACTAATGTGCAACTATAAACTAAGCCTATAAGAAAAAGGAAGATGTTCGCATCAAACTAACTGATTCTCGACGTTATTCATTTATAATCATATGCTACAATGAGTCAGATGCTCCAGCGAAAGTTCTAGTCATTTCAAAACACTGAATAATGTTATTGTCTACTTAGCGCCAATAAAAATTTATGATGGAAAAATTAGCATGAGGTTAGAATATGACTTATTATTAAGTGGAGAGTTATGAACTCTCTAAGGTGGTTATTGCAGAAGCAGAGGGAACAAGCAATTTGCTACTTTTCTCCTGGAATGCTATTGCTTCAACCTTGACTATGTGCCTTGTTCTCACCTTTCCAAAGTAGCTTTGTGCAGCCATGTAAGAGATTATAATGAGATCTTTCTTAAGAACCTGAAAGTATTCAGTTTGATAGATTTAAGTTTTTCAGTTTTTCAGCGGTAAAGATATACTGTCCTTCTGTGTTCCTTACCAAGGTCAGAAAGTCTTCATAAGACGGCTTAGTGGGCAAGTGTATTGTATAATTCGAAAATATCCTGCTTACTGACAACTGAATTTTTGCATGTAAACTGATATGGACTTTTCACTGGCTTATCCGTCGATACTCTACAATGTTCTGCCTTTTCTAGAATATGTTTACGAGCTGACATCTTGAAGAGTTTCTTCGAAAAGAAGATATGTTACTCACCCCAAACGTCTCTCTTTCTGTGTACTGTTTAACAGTACTGGTGAAATTTACATAAAAACATTGAAGTAGCAATTTTGGAGAAAATATTTTCTACTTATCTATCAGTTGTTTTTTTTGTAGCACATAAATGATGCAAAGAGGTATCATTCGAGAGTTTGACTAGTTTGCACTTAGGCTAAAAATGGTACATTTTCTGCAGTTATAAAAGCTTTTTTCTTTTATCAAGGGAATAAATCTACAAGTCTTCAGTTTCTTTTTTGAATCTTTTGTGTCTGTAAAATTGGATTATTGTAGACTCATTAAAGGCTGTTTCTAGTCATGAAATTTATCAAGTCACCTTGTAATGATTCTTCGGCAAAATGCAGAAAATATCACATGAAAAAAAGTAAACTTCCAATTTGTGCCTACCACCAATGTTTAAAAAGAATGCAGAAATGAAGATAAATAACTGAAACACATTTCTTGAACAATCTATTTTAAGAATTTCACTTCATTATTACCAAAAACTTTCAATAAAATATTTCACAGATGTTGGATTTTATATTACAATTATTTTCAGTTGTTGTAATTTAATTCGGCTTTTATACAATTTCTTTCATCAGAGAAAATGCTGATGTAATAGAAAGAAGAATGATGATAGGGATGTTGTTGGTTAAGTATGAAGACAAGTAAAATATAGCTAACTATTGCCTTCTAGTTAAAATACTCACATTCTGAATAGTTACATCTTAAGAACTACCTAACTGCGCGATTGGGTTTTGTGTATGAATAGTATAATATATTCATCAGTTTTTGGTTATGATTATTTCACGTTTTCTATACACTACCAATAATAACAGAAATGGTGGGCGTTGAGTAGAAGCTTGACATTAGATATTGTTTAAAATGAGTCGTAGCGTATTTGAAATGAAATAAATAAAAACGTTTCATACAAGAGTCTGTTTCGAGCTTCTTCGGGTGACAAAAATTAAGAAGCTCAGACTAGACTTCTATGTGAAACTTTGGAATTATTTCATTTCAAACACGCTGCGACAAAAAATTATAAACTATATCTAAGGTTAAGGCCAATACTGTTTACAAATTTTATTTCAAAATCATCTGACCTAATTTTTCCCTTCATAACCAGTATCGCTTGTTTTTAATATTCAATGTAAGGGTGTTCTCTATGGTTTCTGAGTAGTGGTCCAACAGTTTACCCTTATTTCTCTGTCTTCTGTATTTCCAGTTGTATGACTTAGTGAATTACTGTTGTAAGATTTATACACAACCATTTCTGGAGTCTTTTGCAACAACCAATTTGCAAGTTTTTTAAAAGATTTCCAACTGTTGCATCTGATAACTAAAGCCCCTAATAGTGAGCGTTGGTTACCGTGACTTTTCCGTATCAGAATATGCCTGTGTTATGGCTGCAATCTCATGTCTGTTTTTAAAATATCTTTTACTTTTGATAGACGGAAATTAAAGTGGAATGTGCTGACAAAATCAATTGTAGTTTGTCCAATCAACTGTTTTCATTATATATTGGACCATTTATGCTACTTTCTTACACAGATCATTCTAAAATTTAGCCTGGACAGTTTGTCAGGTACTTTGTATACTGGTTACACTTATTCTTTGTTTCTTCATAAAACGAAAGGTAAAAATCACCTGTTTTGCAACCTTAAAAGAGTGAGAATTTAAGCACAGACTCATTTCCATTAAATCATCATTCTTTTGTTCAGCTTACAGTTAGGTAGGAAGGAAAGTCTACTGAATGAATTCAAAGATATGTTCTGTTGTATTTTTCAAATGTTTTGTCTCTTAGCAACATATGCCATAGTTTAATCTTTCTTAATACCAATAATTCTCATTAAAAGTTAATACTAAATCACAGCAAGTGACTGTCATGGAAATTTAGTTTCAAAGACAGTAAAACTGTCGATTCTTTTTAATTGGAAGTCTTGAACTTTTATAAACTGTACAGCCTTATGAAATCTTCTAAAACACTAATTAAAGTCTACTTGCCACTGAGAAAGATGATAAATAGATCATGCATCAGAGGTGCTACCATCTGAACTCATGAGATGATATCAACCTTTTTTAAATACTCATTTAACTGTTCATTTGTATAGTTTATTACCAGCACAAATAATTAGTGTGAACTAATAAATCTCCCGAGATTTGTTTAGACCTTTACTAAAACATAACCAGACCAGGAAGAAACTGGAATTCTCTTAGGAATTCAGTTTGCTGTTACGCATAAGTAAGAACAGTGTGTATGTACTGAGCCTTCCTCCTGTTTCCTCTAACCACTCAGCACTAACTATACAGCACTGAGATTCACATATAACTACTTCATTAGCTACACTGTAGACTCGACCAGTGAAAAAAGCTTACGAGACAGAAGTAAAAAAGCACCACTGAAAGCTAATCAGCGACTGTTTAATGCACCTAATTCAGTCTTATGCTAACTCAATTACCACTAGTCTACTTGAATATTGAAGCATCTGGATGTTATTAAATGCAACAAGAGTCAGCGTTAATGTTCACAAGTATCTCGACCGTCTGTTTGTGATAGTTCACAAGTTAACAGTAAGTTTGAATGGAGAAACGAGAAGGCTGATCGTAATGCGTCTGAATATATCACTAGTCATTCGACTATCTGCGACCATACCTACTTGACCTAAACGTCAGGAATGAAAATACTTTTTAATAAATAAATCGCAAAATATAATGAAGAATAACATTTTAGTGAATATTAGGAGTGGACAATAAATTAGAATTTACTTTGTTGAAACACCGACTAGATAGTATTAATGGTTACTGTGATAAATTCACTTGCTTTTTATGCATAAATATTTCTACATAAAAATATGTGTTAAAAAGCTACAAAATAATTCTTTTAAAATTGTTTGTGTAGTACACCATTTCTTCCTCAAGTACAGTTTTATTTATCCACATATTTGTGTAACTTGGAAAAATATTTCAATTTCTTTTCTACATCTCCGATTATTCGTAAAATTTTCATTTTAGCTACGAATAGTGATAGCAAAACAATTAAAAGAAAGCAGATATTTGATTATAATAGCGATTTGGCTTGCCCTCGTTTTATTTGGAAATGCAGTATTTGAAATGTAAATGTTTATATTCTATAGACAGAGATTAATTGAAGATAAAACGATTGGAATTTAGTTGCATTCCAATGTAGTTTTC